TTTTTTTTTGTCTACTTGTAAGTTCTGTCAGGAAAGATCATTTTTTTTCAGAACCCTACCCCTTTCTCCAATAGGCCCATATGGAGGTCCCAATAAGTAACCAGCTAGTGAGAGACCTAAATTTGTAATTTATTCAAGAGTGGTTACCTTATATCATAACTGATGTTGATTTGAGACATGTGCACAGTGTATTGGTTCAAATTTCTCTTGTTGAAACTTCATTCTAGACATTTTTCTCTATTTTGACAGGTATTTGACATTACAAGGAAAGTAACATACAAAAATCTTGCTAAATGGTACAAAGAACTTAGAGAATACAGAGAGAACATTCCTTGTATAGTTATAGCAAACAAAATTGATGGTATCCTTTTTGTTTTCTTTCTGTAAGATAAGTATTAAGTTCTTGTTCTTAAGACATTGAAGTTATTAAGAGCTTCATCCTGCAACAATTTTAAAAGCAACCTTTAAAGAAAGACTTTTATTGTATTTTTCTGTGGAAGTAAATGTACATTTTGATTGAGTAATGCAGGAAAAACTACAGGAAGTGTTTGTAATTCTGATGAATGAAGGGTAACTTTTGGATTTCACAATAACTTTGCTGCTCAATACTGGTCTCAAATACAGACTTGTTTGAAATATTTTTTATTAATTAATGCTTAGAGGAAGAATGCCACAAAGTATTAGCTTTAGTCAGCCTTTTTATCAGGTTAATGCATAAATGTAAGCAGGCATGCAAAGAAAAAGCTTAGCATGTCAAATGAATATATTGCAATTTTTTGGAATTCAGTTTGCCATATGGATAAATGTGATCTTGATTTTCCTTAACTGCTTTTTTATCTTAAGTTGACTACACTATAACACAGAAAAGTTTCAATTTTCCCAAAAAGCATGGTCTTCCGTTCTATTTTGTGTCTGCTTCCGATGGAACAAATGTGGTCAAGGTAAGCATCCAAATCTTTTTTTTGTGGATTATAAAGACTTGCAACTATAATGGTGATGGGAGAGAGACATCTGTTGCAGGGTGTTCACTGAGAAAATGTAGTGGAGGAAAGTAACAGGAGAATGTTCTCCCTGTCTGAATTAAAAAAAAAAAGCTCAAGGCCTCAAAATTTAGCTAGATAGTTCTAGAATGTTCTAATACATTCTTATAAATAAGAGATTAACTTTTTGGGAGATTACTATTGGTGTGAATTTTACTTCTTTAACTAGAAATGATGAAAAATCTGATTTTTGACCTTGAAAATAAGGGGGGGTGGGAGTCGACTTATACAAGAGTAAATACGGTAGCTGCTGAAGATTTATGTGATCTCTGAGGCCTACAAGCACTTATAAATTGAAACAACTTCACATGTTTGCTGGTGAAGTGTATTAAACGTGAGGAGAGGCTAGATGTGTCTCAGATTATCAGAGACATTTTGTTTTTGTTTGAGCATGAGACTTCTGAAGAATTAAAAAAATATATTTAATTCAATAAATTCATTGGTTCTGTTCAATATTAAGGCCTTTCGAGAAGCAATAAAGCTGGCTGTGAAATATAAAGAAAACTCCACAGATTTTATGGATGAGGTTCTACGCGAACTTGAGGTACAGCATTTTAAAAATTGAATCAGTTCATTAGTACTATTTTTGTGAAAGAACTTGGGATGTATATAAAAGAGTATTATTTGTTTGTTCAATACAATTTTAACAAGGTTTGTGTGGTATGCATGCTTTGTTTAACTTTAAGGAAAGTTCTGTGGAAAAGAAGGGACTGTAAGACATAAAACAAACTCCAAGGTTATGTCTTTCTTTTTGTTTTGTATTTCAGAACTTTGATGACCTGAATCTTAATCAAGATGGTTATGATTCATCTGATAAAAAGAGCAGTGAAGATGAAGGGAAAACATGATATCCACTGCTCTGAGGCTGGCGTCTGTGGTTCACGCACAGTGCTATTTATGTCAGTGGAAGAATATTTCAACACAGAGTAATTTATTCTCCCTATTAGAGTTTTTAATTATTAGCTATTAATATTTAAAAGATTGACATTGTAATAATGTATCGACTGTTACAATTATCAAACAGTCACAGGTGATGATGCTACATCAACTTCATAAGTGTTCTCCGCTGGCTGAAGAGTAACATAACATGACTGCACAAAAACTGAAACAGTCTAAGAATTATTTTGATTCCATCCTCATGTCCTGGCAGAAGGTTTCATGGTTCAATTTTGCCGAATCTGAGCGCAGAGGAAAAAAAAAAAAAATCATGATTAGTTTTATTGTACAGTGTATGTAACCAAGAATTCATTTGCTGTAAATTGATATTCATGTTCAGCGATACTGTCACATGTACTTACCTTCCAGAAATTATATCTGAAGTGGTTTTCCTCGTAGTATTGCCTTCCTAAGTTTTGATCTTTCTCATCACGCAAAAATTCCTTTCAATTATCTTCGTGGTGTCAATGAATGAATGATTTAGCAGTGTTGCTGTCAGGAGAAATTGGATGCTGGTCACTGTCAAGGTTGAAAAGATTGACCCATCTCTTAATTGACAAAACCACGCCCTGCAGGGCAAAAAAAAAAGCACCTCTTGATCCGGAGTTAACCACATTTCTGTCCTTTCGTCTATCCTTTGACAAGTCTCTTTCACAGCCTCGTGTTTGGTCTTGTCGCGCAGTTGGTTAGAGAGAGAAAGCATTGCGTAACTAGACTAAACCAGTGCGAAGGTTACCTTTGGCTTTGTGTGATATTGTTATTTTTGGCCAGTCTGTGTATTGTAAATGTAAACAAAAGTAAATTAGTTTAAATTGTAAATTTGTCTGAAATGGGCATGAAGAAAACCATCTACTTTTCTTTAAAACACGATGCTTGTGAGTAAAAGCGTAATACATACTTTACAACTTACCCCTGAAATTAATCGTAAAAATGCAGCTATCATCGAATTAGTTACAGAGATGCTAGGTGTATTGTGATTATAACTGCCATTACAGGATGAACTAGAAAGATCATGAGGGAGAGTTTTCTTCCCAACTCTTCGCGTTGGGAACTGTGGCTTTCTCGAGATATGTTTGTGTTTTCACAAAATTTATGAACAGTTTTTATGTGATGTCTATTTTCTCTTTGTTTGTTGACGTTGTTATAACTGAGTATTCCATTTTGTATAATTGGTCTGTGTTAAGGTAGATTCATGATTGTTTTGTTATTTCCTTTTGACGGGTTTTAAAGAGGGGCCTTATCCTTTTATATTTTACTGTTCTGTTATGAATTGCTTTCTCTCCGAACTATTTCTTTTTTTCGTATTTAAAACGGTAGCGAGTACTTTTCTTTGCGCTTTGAGGTGTTATATGTCGTATGGTAGCTTTCTTTCGACACGACAATTACTTTGTACCACACTTTTCTTAGAGTCCACTCAATGAATTCAGCTACATTGATTCAATGAATCTCTCCCCGCGATGTTTTTATTAAGGGTCTTGAAAACCATAACCAAGACACCGTAATATTACACGCGAGAATTGATACGGTTAGCTGATTGTCAAGTGCGTGTAGTATTTTAAACCGAGCTGTTTCATGACAAAGTGACGGAGGTGTTCGCCCGATACGTCGAAGCACGCGGACAACTAAATAGGCGCTAGAACTATTTTTCAGAAGTAGCTTTTAGTCAAGCAATCGTGCTAACTAATCTGAACGCTCTACTGTGGTTGAATTTTCCCCTTCCTCAGAGTATTTTAACATCAGCATACACTGATGGAAATTTTCTTTTCTTTGGATTATACCCAAAGTGGCAGTACTGGTTGTGACGATTAAACCGAGAAATGGTTTACGTGCTTAGAGAATTGAAATGATTCCGCGTTTGCAATTTCTTAAGACTACTTTTTCGCGCCAAAAGAATTGCTGGAGAAATCTCGCAGTGAAAGTGGTCGGTGTAGGAAACGAACCTGTTAGGTTAGGTGACCATGCCAATGAAACTGCACTCAGGTGCTTTGGGGCTTGGTCGGATGTGTACAAAGACACTGAAATTAAAATCTGTTTGTAATATATAAGTATGTGAGAAATTGTATGTACAATAACATTACGATGTAACATTAAATAAAGTCGGTTGTTTTCCGCAATAAATTTGGTTTACCTCTTACTTCATGTCAGGAAACTGTTAGGTGTCCTCGAGAGGAGCTTTTTGGGGTTGGTAAGGGTGGGGCGTTTGGTATCCTCTGAGCTGGAGAACAGAGCTTCTAGATATCAATTGGGAGGTATTTCGGATACGTGCATTTATGAGGAAAAGAGCCACGGGGTTGAAAAGGAGCAAATACAACTGTTTCAATTAAAATAAGAGTGGTTGATGATCTTTGAAATGTCCTTAAGGAAATTTGGAGGAAAGATAGCTCCATGACACTAAAGTGGAATTACACTTTGACCGGCGCACCATGTAATCGGGATGCGAAATTGACTCGAGATATTCAAGGTAGACACTGTAAAATCAAGACTCAAAATTCACGGTTAGTTAGCTGCCTTAAGTTCCACACTGAACGTGGGTTTCAAGATACATGGCGTTTGAGAAAACGGGACACCAACGGAAATCTTCAGTAGTTTTTTCTGATTATCCTCCTCATGGAGAAGATGAGCTATCTTGTAAAGAGCACTTACAATTGCAAATTGAATTCTCCAAATAATCTGTTCCAATCGTGTTTGTCTCCTCTGAATCCGCACCTACCAACCTTCAAAACAAACGATCGCTTATTCGCAGTGGACTACATACAGAAGACTGTACATTAAATATGCTCATTGCTGAGGCACAAAAGACGCCAACATCATGCCATAGTAGCTCGGGTGGTAGTTGGCGAGAAGCCTGGATTTCCAGGCAAAGGGACCGGCCTTTAACATCCCGTCCAGCATAACCAGTCCTGTGAATCCACAGGAGAGCGCTTTGTCCACATAGGATGCCGCTTCAGCCACAAGCTTCTCAGAATCCTGGGTGCTCACCCACGCTCCGCACGCTTTGTCAAATGGCTCGGCAGCGGTGGAGAATCCGTACGGCCCTGATTTCAAGTGAGTATGCGCCAAGTCAGCGCTAATGATGACCACGATCTTCTCGAGCTGAGAGTGAAGAATTCCAAACAAACTTTCGCCGAGATGGCGCAGCTCAGGAATCATCTTCACGCTTTCCGTGTACCTGCGACTCGGCTGGGACAGAATGATCGCCTTAGTACTTGGCAGGCCTAAAACACCTTTCGTGAAATACAAAGGAACTACCTCGCCCCATCGCAAAGGGAAGGGAACATCTTCGTTTCCGGGAGGTCCGAATGCGCTCAGATACGATACATTCTCGTTTTCTTCCTTGAGCATCCTTACGAGGGTCTCACTGCCTTTGGTATCCATGACAACGGATAAGTTATAACAGCACGGTGGACACGCACAGTTATCTGTGTCAGAATATCCGAATCCTCTCGGGCTAAGGTAGAAAATGAAATCTTCAGGGGCTGCAATTCCGTGCGGGGTGCTGAGAACGATGGTATCAGGCTTAAGATCCTCGATTTGTTTGCCCACTTCTTTAGAGGCGTCATGTACCAACCAAGCTTGAGCTTTAGCGGTGGCGTTTGTTGTGTTGAAGTAGCGTGGGTCCAGAGCGATCCCTCCTTATTCAATCATTAACAAATAAAAAAGAAAAAAGTAAAAACATGCAAAAATCGGAGGTAAATAATAAATAAATAAATAAACTGACAGACAGACTAAATAAATTCGTAAACAGACGAAGAGAGCAAGGAAAGGATGGAAGGAAGACTGAGAGGAAGGGAGGATGGATGGATGGATGGAATGAACGCCATGAAAATCTGTCTTAATTCTGAAAAAATGAAACCCTTCTCTGAATTTGGAACGTGATTACATACCCCTACATTCTTTCTTATTGTTTTGCATGTTTTTTCCTTTACTATACATTTACCAAGCTGTTGTTTTAATCAATCATTTTCTTTTGTCACGTCCTGATGACCTACCCTACTTTTTTTCCTACGTGATTCGTTGCATGTTTTTCCTTGATTACTTATTTACCA